TGCGCGCGACAACAAGAAGACGCGCATCATCCCGCGACACCTGCAGCTGGCCATCCGCAACGACGAGGAGCTCAACAAGCTGCTGGGCAAGGTCACCATCGCGCAGGGCGGCGTGCTGCCCAACATCCAGGCCGTGCTGCTGCCCAAGAAGACCGAGAGCCACCACAAGGCTAAGGGCAAGTGAGGGCTGTCGGCCGCCTCCGGAACCAAAGGCTCTTTTCAGAGCCACCTTCCATTTTTCTGCTGGAGAACTGTACACTCTTAATCAAAAAGCTAGTGTTTCCTTATAAAGCACAGGGTATTGCAACAAAGGTTACAAGCAATGTGGAATAACAATTAAATGTGAATTTCATATTTGTTGTAATGCATAGTGTTGTCTTCCAACCAGCTATATTACCGGATATATTGATGCAAAATTGAAAGATGATTAAACTTAATATGAAAATCCAAAACGACTGAAAAAAGCCCAACCAAATTTCTGCTTTCCGGACTAGTAGAAATATACAGTGTAGTTGTCCAGACCATCCTGTTTACATATTTGGATGTATCTCTTCCCCACTAGCCAATGGTTTTAAGTACGCAATATATTTCACAATTTATTCAAGTAAGTTATATACTTGGTCCAGGTAAAGCCTAAGTAGTCTGGAAAGGAAGCAACCAGCAAACCATCCTTCGTTCTTTCCTACATACACATTCCTGTGAGTCTCCAAGCATGTAAATATGGGTGAAACACCTTCTCTGGCCACTGAAACCCCGTCCTAAATACAAGGCGCTTTTCAGCAATATCTAAACTTAATGGGGCCAGAAAGATGGCTCAGTGGAATAAGTGCTTCCCTGGCAAGTGCAAGGGCGTGAGTTCAATCCCCGATTCCGCAAAATACATAAAAATAAAAAAATAATATATTTACTGGGAAAGACTTAAGTTACTGGGTAATAAAAATTTATAAATCTTTAAGTGCGTCCTGATGTATATTTTTGCTCTTGTGACGCTTCAAGCAGCAGTTTTTTGGTTTGTTTTTGTTTATAAATGTATTCAGTACAGGGTCTACAGGTTCTCACACACGTAGATCAGTCTCGTAGTGATCCTCTTGTTTTCAGCCTCCCAAACACCCGGATTACGGCCACCACGCCCAGTCTCAATTGCTGTCCCAGCATGCCCCGGGGCGGGGCCGGCATCCAGCACCAGTTTGGATCGAAATCTGTGTTAGAACTGCTTTTGCTATCAGTTAAGCGCATGTCCATCCTCCCCGCTTTCTCCCAGCACTGCCGACACTAAGGTATCTCACATTAAAGAGGCCAGGGGCCAAAGTGCTTGTCTATTTTTAAACCATTTTTGCTGTCTCGGTTGTCATTAAATGCAGTTAGGACACGTGGCTAGTTGAGTGTATTTTACCTGTTATTTGTCCCATTATTTGAAATAAGAAAATGTTCTTAGAAAAGCTTGGAGCGACCTCCACAAATTTCAAGCCCCATTTTCTTTTCATTGTGGGAATCTTTAACGTCAGTGTTCGAAATTCAAAAACCCGTAACACAAGGCGGTTCACAGCGATTGGAAACAGCCTCAGATAAAAGCCAATCAGGGCACGCCGCCAGCAGTTGTGACCAATCAGGACCGCATCTTCGGTATAAATACTGCTCCGCGCGCCCTGGCTCCAGACGCGTCTTCGGTGCTGGCAGTTGTCTCCCGCCCATGGCTCGCACGAAGCAGACGGCGCGCAAGTCCACCGGCGGCAAGGCCCCGCGGAAGCAGCTGGCCACCAAGGCTGCCCGCAAGAGCGCGCCGGCCACCGGCGGCGTCAAGAAGCCGCACCGCTACAGACCCGGCACGGTGGCGCTGCGCGAGATCCGGCGCTACCAGAAGTCCACGGAGCTGCTGATCCGCAAGCTGCCGTTCCAGCGGCTGGTGCGCGAGATCGCGCAGGACTTCAAGACCGACCTGCGCTTCCAGAGCTCGGCCGTCATGGCGCTGCAGGAGGCTTCCGAGGCCTACCTGGTGGGGCTGTTCGAGGACACCAACCTGTGCGCCATCCACGCCAAGCGGGTCACCATCATGCCCAAGGACATCCAGCTGGCGCGCCGCATCCGCGGGGAGCGGGCCTGAAGCCCGCGACCTCCCCCTGTCCCCAAAGGCTCTTTTCAGAGCCACTTCCGTTTTCGCAGAGAGGCTGTTGACACGCCCAACGAATAAGGAAGGGGGAGACTTGTTTACGCTTGAAACTGGCGGGAACCTTGATAATATTGGTAGTTTCGGTTCTTGCTCGGAGCTGAAACAATCTTGGCCGGTCCAGTTACACAGATTATTGAGGCAGCGTCAACGCGTTCTATATTAACAAGGAGACGGTTCAACTAAGCGGCTGTGTTCAACCCAGGGCGGATGGTGCTGCCCACCCAGGCTGGGGTGCGTGAGCCCTAGCGTGGCGCGGGCCTTGGCCTCGGTGGCCCGGACGACTGACGTCCCCAGGGGCTCCCCGTGACCATCCCGCCTGTGGCTACCTCCTCCCCGGGGCCTGGCCTGCTTGGTGCAGATCTGACCACAGCTGGTGACCGAGCGACTGTTTGGCGTAGGACCGAGCAACCTTGGTGTGTTTCCAGTTTCCTGAAACAGTGCTTAGTAAGCGTAAGTCTTAAAAGAACCGCGAGCAAACCTGAATTTGGCTGAAAGTGCTACAGCGAGCTATTCAGAGGGGCGCTCTGGTTCTTGGGGAGTCATAACTGGTGCTAAAAGTTCAGCAAATTAGCTGTACCTTTGGAGTCTCCAAAGAGCCTAGTGGTACAGCGTTGGGGTGAGCTTGGCATGTGGCCTGCACAGCCTGGTTGGCTGAGGTCCTCTCTGCTCACCCGCGCGGCAGAGACCCGGTGTGCGGTGCCGTCCCCACCTCGTGGCTGGCTTCTGCGGGTCCCTGCATCACCTCACGTCCCTGAGTGAGGGATATTAGGTCCCAGGGGCAAAGTGTCCCTCCAATCTTTCAAAGTGTCCCTCCAGTTGTAAAAATAAAATTTTGCTTTTCTAAAGAAACAAAGTTAGTTTCAGTCTTATTTATTTTTTGTGTTTTAGGGAAGGGTCTACAGGGTGTTCAGGGGCTCACTACTAGATCGGACCTGTAGTGATCTGCCTGTTTACAGCCTCTCAAGAGCTGCGATTACAGGCACGCGCCTCCACGCCCAGGCTCAATTGCCCTCTCAGCGGCTGGGAGCAGGGCCAGCACGGCAGGCCTGGGAATTGAACCCGCAACTCTGTGCCCGCTTGCAGGCGCTTTAATCAGAGTTTTAGCCTTCTACTTCTTCCACAGCGAAAACCAATGAGTATGGATGTACGCTTCTGAGATCTAGCATTTCAGATGGAATACAGACCTGGGAGGGTATTTTCTATGTGAAGCTTAAATTTCGGCCTACCAATGATAGTTTTTGGAAATGCCCCAAAATTGTCCGATACTCTCCCTCAATGAGTTGAGCTCAACTCAGTTCCCTTGAGTGTAAGCACCACAGGGAGCTGTGCTAGATTTCTGGGGGCAAGAGGTCTTTCCTGTGTGTCCTGGGGAACCAGCCTCCTGGAGCTGCCTGGTAAGGGACAGAGCTTCAGGATCTGCAGGAACCTCGAGGAGCGGTGGCACTGAGCCACGTGGGGCCGGTGGCTCCTCAGCACCGCAGGCCCCAGGCCAAAGCCATGCAGCCAAGGAACTCTGACCTGGCTTTCAGAAAGGCCGAGATGTGATCCATTTGCTGTTTTATCTTTTTTTTTTTTTTTTTTTTCAGAATCGGGGATTGAACGCAGGCCATTGCGCTTGCCAACCATTTGTTGTTTTAAGCTGCTAACTTTGGGGGCAGCCTGAGCCCAATAAACAACACAGGAGAAGGAAAACAGGAGCACACAGGGAGCCATCCGTAGGACGCACTGTCAGACTAGGACTTGCTACCAGCCAAGATGACCGCTCCAGGCCCAGCACTCAAGGCTGCGTGCAGGGACACTGGCCTTGGCGGGATTAGCTTCATTGCTATCCAGGGAGGCTAAAGATCAGCTTAGTGCCTCAGTGGATTTTTTTGTTTTTTGTTTTTGAGACAAGATTTCATTATATAATCTGGGATGACCTTGATTTGGCAGTGATCCTCCTGTCTCAGCCTCCTGAGTGCTTGGATTATAGGAATATGCCACTGTGCTAGGCAAGGCTGTGGATTTAGAAAAAGAGTAGAGCCTACTGGCTAGAATTGCTTTGCAGGTCAGTGCCAGGTGAGGTGGTCCATCAGTCAGCTTTGGAGGGGGGGACAAAAACCCTTGCTTAACTCTTCTCATGTCTCCTAAAATTTAACAAGAATCCATGAAATGATTGGATGTGGTGTTGCACACCTGTAATCCCAGCACTGGGAGGCTGAGGCAAGAGGATTGGTGTACAGAGTTCTACTGGCCTGAGTTACACAGCAAGGCCCTGTCTAAAAAAGACCAAACCAAAACAAAAGGTCCCCTGAAAAGAATCCTTATTGTCAGTTTCCATGTGAAAAATGGATTGATTTATAAATCAAAACTTTTAAATAGGATCACAAGTCCGCATCTTGTACAGCAATTAACCACTAAGAAGAATATATGCAGTGTATTATTTGTTGAAAAAAAAAAAAACTTTTAGTTTACCGTTTCCCACTAAGCTAGCTAACAATACAACTGAAAATGTGCTCAGGAAGCACTCTGGCCTTCTTTCATTACTGATAACTAACAAGCTAAATGTGGCGGTACAGGTTTATAATCCCACCATCCTGGAGGCTGAGGCAGGAGGCTTGCTGTTGAGGTCCTGGGCAGCCTGGGCTAGTGAGACTCTGTCTGGAAGAAAAGAAAGAAAGAAAGAAAGAAAGAAAGAAAGAAAGAAAGAAAGAAAGAAAGAAAGAAAGAAAGAAAAATTTAAACGGCCTGGGATGCAGATGATGACAAATAAATGACAACAAATAAATAAATAAATAAATAAATAAATAAATAAATAAAGCTAAGGTCAAGGCTCAGTCAAGCGCGCCCTGCGCCGGGTTCACACCCAAGCACACCCGGGCAGGGTGCTTGCAGCTCAGGCTGCCGGCTTGCCGATTCCTGATGAGGGCTTAACCCAGCGGTTGCTCTCATCGCGGGCAGCCTGAGCGTCTGCTGAAGAACGACCCTCGCGGCGCTGTCTTTGTTCCTCCGCTCCTGCGCTGAAGCCAGAGGGCAACGGCACCTCGGACAGGTTTGTCTCTTCCACCGATGTCCAGTTTCGGAGATGTCTGCAAGACAGATTAAAAAGTAGGAGCTTAGTCCGCGTGGTGGCGGGGCCGGTAATCCCGGCCCTCTGGGAGGCTGAGGCAGGAGAACTACAGGTGTCAACCAGTCTGGGCAATCTAGCAACCCAGACCCTGTCTGAAAATAAAAATAAAAAAGGGAAGGGAGCGTAGCTCAGTGTGAAGGCCCTGTGTTCAGTCCCCAGCACATCAAGGAAAAAATAATGAGGGCGGCACTGTGGGAAAATATTCTGTAGTGTGCTTCAGGGTGAAAGCCGCAGGCCGAGGGAAGCTGGAGAGGAACAGGGAGCCCGGAGAGGCTCCGCGAGGACGGAAGCCCTCTGCTGGAAGGGCTACCCGGAACTCACTGGAGGGACTGCACACGGAGGAGGAACGCTGAAAACAGAGAAAGCACAGCTTCTGAGAAGGGCACAGTAGGACAAGCTTTTGTACTGAGCAGCACATTTGCCTGTTTACCAGGAGACAAAAGAATTGAGCCCAACCTTTCGCATTAAGCACATCGGGAGCCCGTTGAGGTGGGACACACTTTGTAATCACAGCATCTCAGTACTCTGGGAGGCTGAGGCAGGAAGGTTTGCCAAGCTACACATTCTTTTGTTTGACTATTTAGAAACAGACTCACTCTGTAGCCAAAGGCATTCTCCTGCCTCAGCCTCCAGAGTGCAGGGATTATGGGTGAGTGTGCAGCTAGGATAAGCAATTTAGTGATTTAGACAGATGTTGCCTCAAAGTAAAAAATTAAGAGGGTTTCCAACTGGGCGTGGTGACACACCTCTGTACACACTCAAGAGGCTGAGGCAGAATTGCCTCAGGTAGATCCCAGTTTGAAACCTTACAAACAAAAACCACACAAAAAGGTTGGAGATGTAGCTCACTAGGAAGGATTTCCAGTATCACACACACACAAAAAAAAATTGTCACTGAGCCAATTGTGGGTCAGCAAAAAGTCCACAGAACACCAGAAAGGCAAATACACCATATTTGAGTAAGATCGAAGGAAATTAAAACACTGCTAACATCTTCTGGAACATTAATCTCTCCTAATATGAGAAAACCACAAAATTATTCATCGCAGCTAATCAACAAGGAGAAAAAAAAAGAAATGTTTTGTAAGTACTTATATTATGGGTCAGTTCAGAATAGGAACTGCAATAGAAGCCGAATTAGAATTTAAAGGAGCCGTTTATTACTGAGCTCAGGGCCGCCAGCCATTTCTCACGCAGGAGAAGACCGAAGGGCACCTAGCCCAGGGAGCAAGGTGTTTTAAAGCAAAAACCACAAGACTAAGGGGTCTTTCACAGTTCAGCCATATGCACAACTTGCCCGTGCAGGGGCTTGTTGAGCAAGCTGATTTACGAGATACAACTTAAGCTGACTATGTTTGCAGGAATTAGATTAGGGAGGGGAGGGAAACAGTTACTCAGTACTAAACAGCCTTGAACAGAGGGCAAGAATACATTCCTTAGAGTAGATAACAGGAAGCAAAAGGAGCCTAATAGTTTTGCATAGTTACAGCTCCAAATTCAGTTGACCCATACACTTAATGTAAATAGTCTCAGATATTGTAGAGGAGATCCTTGGAATCCGTCACTGCTTCCTTTGCAATGGGGTAAGGGGGAGAATCAGCAAAGAATCTGCCTGGACATTGTGAAAAAGCTTAGATCTCAGAAACACAAGCAAATCCACGTGGGGGCAGTGGACAGGTGTGGTCCACGAAGGTTAAAGAGAGAAACCGAAAGAGATTTACTGAGGCAGCTTCGTGTGACATGAGCCTTTGGAAGCAGATGCCCAAGGACCAGAGGGAAACTGGGCACTAAAAGCCAAGCACAAAATGCTTAGGTTCTGCCGGGCCTGGTGTGCAGGCCTGTAAACCCATCACTGGGAGGCAGAAGCAGGAGGATCACTTTTAGTTCAAGGCCAATGTGGGCTACATAGTGAGTTCAAAGTCAGCCTGGGCTACAGATTGAGACCCTGTCTTAAAAACAAGCAAATACGCCCCCAGGGTGCACTGAGAAGGC